TTTTTAACCTTGTTTTGTAAAAATATACTGGAAATACTTAAGAAACAATGTGGGATAGAACAGTTTTATATGAGAACAGTGCTCAGTAGATATCAACTGTTATTTTACCTGTTATATAAGAGCATGTCTGCTCCACTGAAGAGTAAATAAACCACTCTTCATGTTCAATATCTGGAATATATTGTTTTCATCCTACAACACCTGTTGTGTTTCTGGAGTTGATTTATATAGATTGTGCCATATATCAGACTTCTGATCCCAAGACCTTAAATTAAAAAACCTTCACAACATTAACAAACTCTTGTGTGGAAGGTTTTGAAAGAAACGACTGCAGACTCAGTTTTCTTCGCGGTTTGATGTAGCTTTGTTCTGTTTGTGCTTTTCCTTCTTCCTTCTCAGTGTCGCTGAAGCTGCTGAGAGACGCTACAACCATGGCTGCTGTGAGTTTAGTCACTTAAGTGTCATTTTGTCACGGGCTCCCGATCAGTGGTGGAAAACCTGTGTTGAAAGCATCGGGATCCTGGATGTTGGACCGTGCTGCTTAATGCTGTTATTGTGCCACTAGATGCTGCAGCTCTCTGGGATGGAACCTTAAGCTGTTTTTAAGAAGTGGCTTTCGAAGTCCTTTCTGTAATCATGTGAAGCAGATTAAGCAGCCGTTCACTGGGGTGTGTCGTTTGGGGTCTGCTGTAGCTCAGCTGGGTTGTGGGACCTCAGATGCATGTGTTGTGTTGTGGATAGTCAATTACCTGCACGAGCTTGTGTGATGTTTTCTGATCTTCATGCAGACTGGATCTTTCCGTATGGTGTCAGAGGAGGAGCAGGCCATGCGCTCCAAGCTGGAGCATTTGACAGTGAAGGATCATGGGCCGGTGTTTGGGCCGTGCCACAAACTCCCCGGTCACACTGTGCAAAAGGTACAAAAAGACTGTGAGCACGTACAGATGAGTTCAAATCAGAATATCAAACAGTTCCTGGAGACCACAAGATCTCAAGTGTTGTTCCTTTTCCTGCATTTTGTTTAATTATTTCTCCCGAAGGCAAAGGACGAGCTGAATGAGACGGACGAGAGGCGGGCGTCATCGCTGAAGGACCTGCGGGCCATGATGAAGGAGAGGGCGGCCGAGGGAGACAACCTGGCCAAACTGATGCTGGAGCGTTTCGGGGACGAACCCGACTCTCTGCTGCTGCGCTTCCTCAGAGCTCGCAAGTTTGATGTGGTCAGGGCCCACGATCTGATGAGAGGTGAGGGACAGAGGAGACGGCCTGTTAGTCCACGCAGCTTTATAGCAATAACTTCTATTTAAATCATATATAAAAGTGTTTCTTTTTACCATATTATTTTGGTGTCCATGTGTTTTTATTTTTCTTCAGTCTCTGCTACTGTGATTGAGCGTGAGACCTCTTTTGTGCTCCCCGTTTGCATGAACCCTGCCCATCACAGGACCGGGAGGCATATGTTCATTAATTGGGGGCATTGAGATGCTTCGGACTTTCCCTGACAAAGAGCTCCTTTGTGTCCAAATAGGACAGCAAGTTTACTTTTACTTGTGAAGCCACAGTGTTCTGCTGGGAACGGCACACAGCGCCTCGTGAGCTGATTGTGTTTCTCTGGGAGGAGAGGAGCTGAAAAAGCAGAGATCAGGCCTTTGACTTTCATGAAATGCTTTCATCATTTCATTTACTAAAAATTGATATGGCAGGAAAAAAGAACAGCTTGGAAAAAGATGATGAGGAAAATGTTTCTTTCTACATTTTGCTATCGTTATTTGATTATTTGGTTCTCACAGAGAAAAAACATTTGTGAATATATTTGGTGAACACATCACTGTTAGAGGGGAATGCAATTTTTTAATCAGGATTGTTTTTCTAACGAGGCTATTCTTCTTTCAAGTGATGGGTGAACTTGTTCTGTTGTGTTAATTATCACACACACACACACGTAGATGGACTTTCTCATATGTGCACACATAACATTTACTGTGGGTTAATTGGTGCGTCGAGGCTTAGTGCAGCACTGTAGATGCATTACGACAGTGGTGTCATTGTGTTGCTCACTTCAACAAGCAGTTGATGACTGTACACTGAGACTTTGTGCACTGATGAGAGAGTTCAGCTCACGTGCGGGTCGATGTGTGTTTTTGTGTGTAGTTGAATAAATGTAGCAACTGTCCTGAAAACTTATTGATTTAGCGTCTTGACTCATAATGAAAATATTTGCTGCTCTAATATGAATTATTTTGTGTCAAATGGGTTTTACAGCAACATGAGCTGCTCTAACTGTCAGTGGTCATGTGATCAAAAGGGGGAAACTATCATCTGCCAAAACTAACTGGCCCTGGGTGAGTCTAACTGCTGGCCCTCGCTCTGCAGGTTACGTGCGCTTCAGGAAGGAGTACCCTGAACTGTTTGAGAACCTGACCCCTGAGGCGGTCCGCAGCACCATCGAAGCCGGTTACCCTGTGGTGCTGCCCAGCAGAGACAAGTACGGCCGCGTGGTCCTGCTCTTCAACATCGAGAACTGGGACCTGGAGGAGATCACGTTCGATGAGGTAGACGTGCCACTGTCACTTTTAAAGTCTTTTTGCTGCAAGGGTTGTTTCCACTTGTTTTTCCTTATAAAATGAATAATTTGAACAACTATAAACACAAAAGTCTAAATGTGTGTGTGTGTGTGTGTGTGTGTGTGTGTGTGTCAGATCTTGAGAGCTTACTGTGTGATCCTGGAGAAGCTGCTGGAGAATGAAGAGACCCAGATCAATGGCTTCGTCCTGATTGAGAATTTCAAGGGCTTCACCATGCAGCACGCCTCAGGGATCAAACCGACGGAGCTGAAGAAGATGGTGGACATGCTGCAGGTCAGTCAGAAAATAAATAACTGAGAATGTCTTGCTGTCCAACCTCAGAAAGTGTGAACCTTCACATCGTCTGTGTGCTCTCCTGCAGGACTCCTTCCCTGCCCGTTTCAAGGCGGTCCACGTCACTCACCAGCCCTGGTACTTCACCACCACGTACAACGTGGTCAAACCCTTCATGAAGAGCAAGCTGCTGGAGAGGGTACGAACAGTTACCGTCAGTTTGTACTTACCACAGTTTTCCTCTCATCTGATCGAGTTGCATTCTTCCTCAGGTCTTTGTTCACGGCGACGAGCTGGACAACTACTTGAAAGACTTCGATGCCGACATCCTTCCGGCAGACTTCGATGGAAAGGCGTCTGTTTCCGACAACCAGGCCATCGCCACCAAGCTTTTTGGCTCTGAAGACACTGCTCTCTGAAAACACATCTCAAACCCTTCCCCCCAGATGCTTCTTCTGTGATCAGATCAGATGTGTGGTCTAATTTGAAGCTAGGTTTATATTATTATAATTCAGGTAAATAAAAAGAAGTATCTAGAGTTAGGAGCAGGGATTTGTTTGCAGAAGAGTAACACCGGCGATAGAAGCGGGAACAGGAAAGGATGTTTAGATGTTACAAAGAGAATAACTGATGGTTATTGTTTGTGATAGTAGAGTTTTGCTCCACCTCTTCGTTGCACCTTTACAAGACGAACGATGAGAGTTGGTCACGTGACGACGTAGCTCACATCCAGACTGAGTTTGGTTCGGTGCCCTTTGCCTTAAAACTGAATTTCAACATACAGACCAGCCTTGTGCCTACAGTCGTGTCGGATGAAGGAGTAAATGATTGCGTGTATTATTGGAAAGGTATAGAGAGGGTAAACTGATGATGGATAAACCTGCATGTGATTGTTGTTTTAGGAGCAGGGGCCTCATGACGCATTGCCATGGCAACCTTGTCTCCACAGCCTTGTTCAGATGCCTGATGTACCACAGAGATTCGTTCTGACAAAGTGCATTTGATTTTCAAATTTTCAATAAAATAGTTTTTTGTCTGTGTTTCTGTAGTTTTATGATTTGTCATTCTTATCGTTTGTTGTGCTAAATTCTGTGTTTCATAGCAAGACTACCAGGGTAAACCAGGATGTCCTCATTCAATCACCTGTCCCTCAGACTTGCTGTGTTAAGTCAGGTGGGTTTTCATGACACACTGATCTCCCCCTGATGATTCTTTCATGAGCCAGTTTGCTGTTTAATTTGAAATCAGCTGCACCTGTTTCATATTTAAAACACAATACAAACATGGCTGTAACTTCAAATCTGCACTTTCATATTTGTTTCCTCTTTAAATGCTCTTTCATAAAATTAAACAACAAATAAAACCACATCTTTAAATCAAATATTCAAGTTTTCAGCCGTGTTAGACTCTTTATGAAGATGGACGATATAACAGTGGCCTAGCGGCTGGCTGGCTGAAACGTCATGATTGACAGCTGAGACTGATCCCCGATTGGTCAAGCACGTGTCGGCCGGATCTCGACACCAGGTCTCCATCTGCTGATGGTCATTGCATAGACTGACTTTTCACAAGAGGGCAGTGTTAGTCTCTGGAATATTCACGTTGTCCATTTTTATAACTAGTCTAATAAATAATAAGTGCTTGCAACAAGAAATTAATTAGATAACAGCTTCTATTAAAGCTTCTTATCAAAATCATTTCACCATAAAACAGTTTTTCATTTGAGAAAATAATTTATTTTGGAACACGATAACCATATTTTCTCTCATAACTAGATCACACACACCACTGGCTTTCTTCCACAAAAACACCCAGGGTTCGATATCAGAGTATGTTATGTGACTGTGTGCTCCCTCTAGTTGTCTCCTCATCCGTAAACCATCAGCATCAACACGTCAACACAAAATTAAAGCTGAATAATGATAACTGTGGGTTCACGTGCTGTGGGCTCTCATCCATTTACTGAGGCTCAAGATGATTTCAGAGGAAAACAACACTGAGCGACGCTCACCCTGATCCAAGGTGTATTTTTTCAGATTCAGTGACATTTTAAGTCACTTGAGACGTTTATCTTCAACTTCCTAACAAGCCCACAATGTTGAAAAAAAGATGCTTGAACACTGGGGTTAGGATAAATACAGAGGAGCACATGTTCATAACAACACAGTAAAACATGTCAGATTCCACATCCATGAGAAAACTATACGACATGTTTTGGTCTATTAGACTTTGACACTAGTTCCCGTCACATTAGTATTAAAAACAAAAGAGAATCGTTCCCGGTTGGTTATTGCCTTTAATTTTCATCCCTGGTCCCTCAAATAATTCTATATACTCTATATATTTCTTTTTTTCCTTTTTTAAAGTGAAGAAGTTTTGGTTTTTGTCAATCAGTGGTGGTGACATGACACAGTCTACACAAACTGCATGTTCACTCATCAGCACTCCCACTCTAATGCATTTGCACAACACAAAACATTATAATAACAATACAAAATACAAAAAAAACCTAATACACAAAATAATAAACTAGAAAAAAAATACATCCAAATAAAACATCGACACCTGTATCACTGTGCAAAATTAGGGAGGAGGGGAGAAACTTAGAAAGACAAAATAACAGAAAACTGGGTTTGTGCCTGGTGTCGTCAGGATTAAAAAACCCCACTGGATCGTTTGATGTTGTTGAAATGAGAGCTGTGGACCACGACCAGAATAATCTCACTGTGGGTGAATGACATGATGCCATTAATGATCACTCACATTCTGAGTGGATGAGTGAATCAACAGTTCCATATTTACATCACTGACATAAATGTCTGGATTTTAAAGTATTATCACAGAATAAACTGTCATGACAATATTCACTATAACAGCACTATTACTATTCCTTTGGTGCTGGGGATAAGTACGGTTCAGTTGTTATTTACTCTGGTGCGAACACAAACACTTTATTCCAGTTTTTGTTTTGTTTGCAGAATCAGAGACATCGTCTTTGAGTATCAACAACAACTGAAAACCTGTTCAGCATCGGATGATTTGAATTCTTTTCATTTGATTGTCTCATCAGTGTTTAGATACAGTTTTCCTTGGCTGGACTTCCTCGGCCCTTACAAGGTTTGTAGCGAGGGTCTTAGTCAGATTCAGGTTTTGAAAAGTCCACAGGTCTCATCAAGATGTGATCAAAACAGCTTTGTGATTGATTTTAGTGTAAATTGCAGGGAGCCACGCTGCTGTGTCGCTGTGGCTCTAACACTCAGCTAAGAAAAAAGGAAAAGCTTTTCAATGCAGTCTTTAAAACTGTAGAATCTGTTCTTTCATACATGAAGTGTTCTCCATCTAATCATACCATTTGGTTTTGCGTTGGTATCCTCAGCCCTCTTACTCATCACACCTCACAGCTCAGATTCTAAAAATCTTAATATCTGCTTCATGCTGCTGAGCTCTCCCCTCAACAGCAACAAAACAAGTAATGTGTAGACAGCATTTTCAAAATTTTGGGTACTAGCCTCTGTGAGCAGTGGCAGCAGATTTTTGTCTGTGTGGTAAGAAAAAGGTTTCAGAGTTTCTGCAGAACCTGTCGCTGATCATAGGCAGACGAAAAAGTAAGAGGGCTCAAAGACGCCGACAACACAGGGAACATTTGAGTCATCTAACTTCTCGTTATCATCCTCGCTCCTACCAGTTCCTCTTCTCAAACCTATGAAACCTATAAAGGGTTAAAAAACGGAAAGAAACGGGAAAGAAAAGATTTTGTCATACAGGGTTTAAAGTGCATTGAATCAAAAAGATAAAATGCGACCGAGGGAATGTGTATGAATCCCATCTAGGGCTGATCCCTGGTCATATCTGGTGCCAGAAGGATGTGAACTGGAAGTAAAGTGTAAAATCCCACTGTAACACTTCTCTACTGAATTTTCTACGAACCATGGAGCGACAGTTCACCCAGAAGAACAGAGAACGGAGTATTTGGACCAACCAAACACAAGGATCACATGCTCTGTCTTCAACTCTGGGTCTACACAGGCACGCACAGACATATAAACTACATCTGTGGGTTACAAACATACTAGAAAGATGCTGTGTTGGTTAAGACAGCAGACTAGGCTATACGGCCTTGGCGGTGATTAGCAGTGAGCTTCTTAAAAGGTGCAGGAAACGGACACCTTCTGCAGCACAGTCTTGATTTAGGTTAAAAAGGAGGCTTCTCGTGTGCTCTTGTTTTTCACTGGACTACTCAAAGTGTTGTTCTCGTGTTCCTTCTAATGCCAGCTTATATTTGGTCAACGCCTCCGTTAGCCAAGGATCATTGCTGTGTACGTGTAAAGAAACAAAATGTCAAAAGTTCTCGCAACGAAAACGAGCACAAAGGCAGTTAATTGTTTTTGTTCCTTGACATACTGTAAGGTGATGGTGACTAGAAGGGGGGATTGTGGTGAAGGCTTGACATGTGTGGGTCAGTAGCAGTGAGTAGCACCCGGAGGAGAAGGCAGAGAAGAGAGAGCAGTTTAAGGTTCAGTTCAGGTGTCTCCTCAGTGCTGGGACAGTGGTGCTGGAGAGGGTGAGGGGTGACAGGGAACAGAGAAAGAGGGTGAGAGACGTACAGGCCGGAGGTCTAGGCTTTTTCTTCTGCGCAGGAGCTCTCACTCAGGGGGCCACTTTGGCATGGCGGTTTCTGTTTCTCCCACTGGCACATGGAGTTGGCGTAACCCACAATCACTTTGTCCATCCAGGTGAGGGGCTGGGGGAAAAGCACCGCGCCCTCAAAGAAGCCCAGGTGGCCTCCGTGCAGCGTCAGGGCAAAGATCACATTCGACTTCTTTGCTACAGGATGACACAACACACGGCAATTAAGCTTCTGTGCTCTGCACAGTGCGTCCGCATCAGTATCTGAAAACAACCGTGGACACAAGATTAAATATGGGCTTGCCGGGGTTTTGCCTGATGTAGATAGTGAGGGAGTGTTTGCATGGTCTGTCAGATAACAGCAGGGCTCGATTTCTGGCAGGTACGTTCATCAGACAGCTTCTGTACCACTGCTGAAACTTTGAGCCAGTCTAATCAGTTGATAAAGAGACTGAGAAAAAGAAAAACACTACTTCTTTCTCGATTTATAAAGTTAAAACTTTTTCAAAAAACAGCCTGTGGAAGTTTCATTTAATTGTTGCACCGTGTAACTTGTAGTTGATTTTGAAAATTACAGGACATAAAAACAGGTTTTCCTCAAGAGACAGGTTTCTCAGATCGTAACGCTCACAGCATGTTGTTTGTTTGGTTGCCAAATTACAGCCAAAAGTATGTGGACAAACGTGTGCATGGACTTCTAAAGGAAAATAAAGACTTGTTTTCATGTCTGGTCTGAAAATAAACTCAATAAACTCTTTCAGGACAAACTGATGCGTTGACTCATTGCCCAACATCAGTTGTGAACTCAATAATGATCTTCCAGTGGAGTGGAGCAACTAACTGCAGCCAGGTTCCTAAATGTTGAGGAGAAACTCAGAGGAGTGGACACTATTAATACTGATCATTTTAAAATACAATGTTTAAAATAATCATTCTGGGGTGTAACGTTGTGGTGTCACATTACTGCACCGTCACTCAGGATTTTAAACTCTCCATATGAGACTAATGCTTCATCTCTGTTTTTCTTCAGTATATGAATACAGACAAAGTGGATCCATTCAAACTTTTACTTAATTCACAATAAATAACCTCTGAAACTCTGACTGGGTCATGTGACAGAACAACCATTAAAAGTTTTCTGATTGTCATGTGAACCTCTGCAGAGTGCTGGTGCTGCTGCAGACAACCAGGCAGGGTGGTCTCCATCTCTTCATCCTCTTGCTCATATCTGGGTTAGTGGGCCTGTTGTGGTTGACTAGTGATTGAGATCCCACAGGGCTTTCACCAGTGTGCAGCTTTCATGAGAGCTGCTGATCTGCTCTGCTCTGGGACAACTGAGTGCTTCCCCAGACCCCGAGCGACCCGGAGCCACCATCGCACCAGGCGCTGAGTGACAGGCGGGAACAGAACGCTCTGGGGAACAGGTTGTACTTACAACTGGACGCATGTTTACTTGTGTTTACTTATCATCGTATTACAGCAACATTCAATGTATAAATACAACACAACTAATCTGAGCTGAGTATTCCTTAAGTATTAAGTTACCTCTTTGTAAACTTCTTATTTAATCTAAACATTTTTTAACTAAGCCAATAGAAGCAGCACAGTGTTTTTCTGTTGACTCCTCTCCTAGGGGCCAACTATCAGATTCTCTATATCATATTTAAACCAAAGAGGCAGATGATCCTGAGAGATCCTCTCTAGAGACGCATGTATGATAAAGTCACTTGTAACACACACACACACACTTACATTAGGAATTTTCCTTTTCAAAAATAGTTAAAGGGGTCAGTAAGTTTAAATATAACACAGGCTGAGGAGAGGGAGAGCTGTTAGGCGGTATATCATTTAACCAACTGCCTTTTAGTTTTTTGGAAAATGAGGTTTGAATATTCTGCCTGGTTTATTTGTAGATTAGATGTTTGATTTTGGAAGCCTGTGAAATAGTTAAATTCATTTTAAACAGGCTCATAGAAAGAGACTCAGTTCAATGTTTGAGTGATTGTCACAGCTGCTGTAAAAAAAAAAGACATTACTCATAGACTTGAACTCAGTGCCACACCCTGTACTGTTCAGAGTGCAGAGCAAACACATCACTAAGCCTTTTGAGAATGTAGACAAACTTAGAGAGAAAGACATCAGAGGCGTCAGCTTCAGTAATTAGTCAGGGAGGAGAAGCCTGTGGACTCAATAGTGAATCTATTGAAAATGTGCCATGATTTGTCTGCAGGTACTTGACAATCTCTTTAGCACAGGCCATTATTTTTGGTTCAAGTTGGTAGAAATCTGTGAATTTGTCTACAGTATTAAATATTATATTAATTAGGAATACTGTAGTAACATGAAGTAACAACGTGAAGTAAGTAGCGATTATGAGTTATGTTCCCCATGCATCTAGTTATCTACACACACTTGAAAGTGAGTCATGATTAAGATTTCGTATATTAACACTGTTAAAATACGGCAGCTTGTTTTAAAAAAATGAGGTTTAGTTCTGCGTCTGTTGTCATGTTGTTAGTTACCTGCTAGTGTGCGAGGGATGGTGAGCAGTGAGTCATGGACCAGGGGATCATCTGCAGAGTTCACTAACAGTAGTGGCACATTAACCTGGAAAAAAACAAATAAAAATTCAAACATCGATCACACAAACATATCTAAAGGAGAAAATGCGAGATGCTATGAGGTGTATGTGTAAAAGAATCTCTTACATTGTGAATATAATGAACACAGCTCTCCTTCTCGTAATACTCTTTGAGAGAGCTGTGGCCGTGGAATTTTCTGTTGAACCCAGAGAAGAAAATGAATTTTAAAAATGTGCTTGAGATAGAAACCTGTTAAGGAGAATATCTCAGATTCTCCACACTGATGCATCAACACTACTGTAAGTAAAATACAGATAACGATATCTTTAAACTCAGATCTGTAATCTACTTTCACTAGATGAAATCTCAAAGTGTCTCTTCACATACCTCATGATGTTGTCGTCGATCTGCATGAGGGAAGTCGCTGTGTACAGCCGACTAAGATCTGCATCTATCACTTTAACTGAGCTTCCTCCAAACAGACTGTGTCTGTAATATATAAAACACATAAAAACATACACAAACATTATTCAAGAACAATAAGAAACAATACATAATAAGTAACTCAACTGTGAGTGAATGTCTTCAGGGGCTGTATGAATTACTGGGAACCACCATAGTTATTGTTTTATTTTGGGCCTCCCTATACTAAGAAAAAAATACTACAACTCATATTTCAAAGCAACATAACAGTATTAGTTAGGGGACCTATTATGCTTTTTTCTTATTTTCAGAGGTAAATATAATATCACAATGTTGAATTGTCATATTAAATGTGGTCAGGTTAAAAAAATAGGCCAAATGTTAGAGTAAATATCTGTGAGCCACAGGGAGCAAGGCTTTTCTTCTGTGAACGCACATTGCCATATGAACTGCAGGAACCACAAGCAGCCAGTATGAGATATATAGAAGGATTTCTGAACTGTAAATAGTGTTGAGATACTAGTGGAGTTCAAGAACAAATAAAAAGATCTGGAAATGAGCATAATAGGTCCCCTACAGAGGCAAAGCAAAAATAATTAAAATGGTGCAACCTGTGTAAACTTTAGTTTTCATACAGCCCCTAAAATGTAAGTGCAACTCACAGACAAGATAAACCTGAACTCAATATCTTTGCAAACAATCTCAAACTGGATACACTGAAAACATCTCTGCTGTATTAACAGTTTTAAATGTGGAGGTTTACTGAATATTTAGAGAATCAACAAAACATGTTGTCTGTTATAGTGATGTGAAGCTGGAGCGCTGTCTTTGCCAAACACTAGAAAACAGCTGTGTAACATGTTGAACTTTACAACATGAAATACTAAAGAGAAACAATTTGTACTTCATGTGCGACAGTGATACCTGTGTGAGAGAATGATTTTCTTCATGTTGTCGGCCATGAGAAAGTTATAGAAGCGTCTGAACTGATCCCACTGTAGGAATGTTTCCTGGGCCCTGTGAGACACAGATAAACACACAGGAGGTTAGCTCTGCGCAGCCTGTCTGCATTCCAAACACACTCAATGTCCTGTGTAATCCGCTGGACAAAGGGTCACACTGGTGGAGAGTAGCAATGGTCTGAGGCATTAATATGCAGCTCACTGACGAGACAGGCTGAAGCAACACAACAGCTAAAGATATTCAACAAATAATGATTAGAAACATATTATTTTACTTCTGTTATTTCTGTTATACCATTAGTTTTTTTAATCCACAATGGTGGAAATAAACCATGACTACAACTGAAGGAATGCTGACAGAAGCATCAGCTTAGGTTTGGATAATGATTTGAAAGGGGAATTCATGAAAAGGTGAAAAGAAATCCTAAGTGATGAAAGGCCAGTCTCTACAACACACCCTTCTCTTAGTGCCAACACGCAAACCTACACAGACCCAGCCTATCATTTCTGCCAAGAGACGCTGGCTGCATTCAAAACACAGGAGGCGCGGCTCAGTCCAACTGAACACAGGGTGGAGAATCCACTACGACATCCACATGTACTAGTAGTTTAAAAACAACATTCCAATACACTGGTTTGATGAATTGTGACTATGTATACTAAATATGCAGGTTCACCCTTACTGCGTTATGCCCAGATACTCATACAAAATGTATTTGGATAGAATACAAATCACTGGATGACTGGATTAGGAAGTCTGAGGCTGATGGCTTTGTTTGGCTAAAGTTCTTCAAAATGACAAATTACAGGGGATATTTATCAAGATAAAAACATGAACAGAATGTAGCAAAGAATAATAAAACTCACAAAGTGCTTTACAAAAGCCATGAGAATAAAACACAAAACGAAACAAGACCAAATAAAAAGACGGATAACATGAAAGAAAATGTTAATAGATTAGTGACATAATGCCATATTTAATGTATATTTAGAAGTGTGTGTGTGTTTAATGCCAGCACTATAAAGGGGCTTTGATGATACAATGCAAATTTAATAAAGAGGAGAAGACAACCACCTACCTGAGAGCACTGTACCCCTGAGAGACACTGACGCAACACAGCACTCGCTCCTGGTTGGTCCTGTTCTCGCCCAGGAACTTACACACAATGTTTCCACCCAGACTGAAGCCAACCATTATCAGCTGCGTCTGAGGATACGTCCGCTTAATGTAACCGACCATGGCTGCAAACTCCCATGTGCACCCTTTAAGAGAAACAGTACAGTTACCAATCAAAACAGAGCAACACTTCTGTAGGACGGAGCGTTTCTCTCTGCTCAGCAGCTCCAGCTGAAGGTGCCTTTGACCCAGAGTGTTACATTTATTTATCTCTATTAGACCTTTTAAAAAAGCTCAGGTCTGAAATCCCATGTCATCTTTAATTCTAGGCAAGCTCATATGGCCTTTTTAACTTTAGAGTCAGCCCCTTGCTCTCACCGTAAGTAAACATTCGCGGAGAGGTGAGCTCGATGTTGGGAAGAGCTCCCAGGTGGTTCAGCACAGCACAGCGATAACCGTCCTTCTGGGCGTGATCCACAAAGGTTCGGATGTAATGCTTCTCACTATGGTTACCAATACCAGGGCATATCACCATGGTGATGTCATCTGGTGAAACAGACAGATTGGAGAGATACTTGCCAATGAGAAATATGATAGCACAGAGAAGGAAAGTATGTAATCCTCCTAAACAGCACATAAGGACAAAGCACTGCAACTTATTCAGAACTAAATGGCGTAAATCAAATGTCATGCGAGCCTTATGCTTTCTGAGAGGAGTGTGAGACCAAAGCTGAGGACTCAGGGTTCAGCTGAGGCATCCGAAGAAAGGAATAGATTGTTAACTGTCGTCAAAGAGCCGCATGATTGAAACGGTGCATCTTGTCTAAAAGATCGACAGTTCAAGAAAGAGTCAAATACATTATCACAGCTGACCTACAAAACCTTGCAAAACTAACCAAAGCTGAACATGGCTGTTCTTGTAAGATTACGTCATCTCAAATCAGGTTTATTCCTATGAAGCAAAATCTAAAATTTGTCTCAGAGGGATTTACAACATACAACTCCCTCTATCCCTGACCCTTTAATAAAGAACCAGCAGGAACAACCAAATCTGAAGTGTTGTCCAAATAGCAACAACCATCAGTGCAAAAACGTTGGTTAAGAGATCCTCACCTCCTGTTCGATGGTCCCCCAGTGACTCAAAGAGGTCAAAGGTTGCAGTGGCCCCATCCTGCATAGGTAAGTACTTCCTGATTCCACTGGGGTTAGGGGAGCTCACCCGACCAAGTTTACCATAGAGTGCTGTCTGGAGGTGTCCACTCTTACCCCACAATAGAGGAGGGATGTACCTGAAAAACACAAATATAGACTGTGCTATTAAATCTAATCTAGAAACATGAGTTTATTTATGTACAAGGTTAGTGCCTGTGTAATAGAATCAACACAATGTCTTTGCAAACAAAGTCACATTTCTGGTTCAGGTTTTGGAATATCACTCCACCCTCTGAACATACATTAATGTTTAACATCAGCCTTTAGCGATGTTTCACTAGGTTCAGTCGTGCACGTGTACTCGAATTCCAGCGAAGCTCATGTAGGAGTGAGCTGTGGGAGTCAAGTCTTTGGATTACACAGGTTCTGTTAGACACAAACCAGAGCTCATCGACAAACAGAGGCTCTAACAAAGACAGATATAACTTATTCACAGTGTTGAGAAATTACATATTTGTAAACATTAAGTTCCTGTCTCACTTCCCTTCTATTACATAACATCCTATCTGAATTCTTTCCTGTTAGCCTTACATACACTGAAGTGAAGAGTTGGAGGTAATGAGATGAGATACTGAAGATCTGCGGACTGACACTAGTGGTGTGTACAGTACACAGATCAAAACACAGAGACAGCAGAGCAAAGGGTTCAATTACATCGACAGTTACACAAGACCTTCAACCTAGTGTTTCCTCATCTCTTCCCAGGGCTCCGACAATTACTGCACCTAGAAAATACACTCTTACATAAGAGAATTGTGAATCACACAGCAGACTGCTTGTCACCTGCCAGTGATAATGTAGTTCCAGAAGGTGCTCTGGCAGTTTATGACTTGATGACTGCAGGAGGAGGATAACCTCATTGTCGTCATTTGGATTAAAAACATCTCCAGGTTTGCTGAGTTCAGTGTTAGTAAATCTAACAACTTAAAAACACAAACAGCTTCTTCTTTAACATGGTGATTTCTGCAGGCTCCAACACATTACATCTAAGATCACATAAGAAACACCATAAAAACGTGAAATTTAAGACAAAGGTGAAGTAGACGAGATATGAAGGCATTTCAGATTCCCAGAATTACTTACACAACCCCCCCCACACACTTATGACACCATTCAACACCACACTTTGAACATCAAGGACTTAATTCAGAGCAAGATGAAGAATCTTGTTTTTAAACTCTGTCCTTCTCAATTGGCTGAGGAACATATGTGACTGTCTTATTTCATTTGGTAAAATTACAATTAAAAAATAGGCTGAATAAGTATAAGAAAAGAAAATCTGACTGATGAAGTGAACAAGATGCACCTCAAGAAAAGAATTTGAATTGTTCTTTGTCGTCCTCTACATTACCCAGTGTGCCTGTTCCCAAACAAAAATGTTGTTGCCCGTCAACCTCACAACACCCCTCTTATGCTTTCCACTGTGTAATTGATCTCTGTTATGCAACACAGCGCGGTCTCATCATGCGTTACAAACGTGACTTTTCAATAACACAGATGATGTGCCAATGCCAGAAACAACAACACCTATCGGTTCCAGGGCCACACATTTCTATAAGCAAAAGGTTCAGGAAAGAATGGTAACAAGCCAGACACAAATGTAAACATCAGTGTGGCCTTATGATTCCCTGACACCACAGCTGAAAGCCACAGGGCTCAGTAACAATCGGTTCTATAAACAGACACTCGTGATGAAGACATGCAGAGACGCAGTTCCACTGGAGTATTACACACACACACTGGGGGAAAGAGTTTTTCCTTCAAATTACAGGATGTTAACCTGGTTTATGTTACACAGCAAAAAAAACAATGTAAACTCAAATGAAAGATTCACGGAATAATCAGTCTTTCCCTGAGGGTAGCATCATCAACTCTCAAAATAAAGCCTTGTGTTTAATTAATGCTAGAACTGAGTAAAGCCAGACACTAAGGAACACTGATGACAGATGGCACCACAGCCAGACAAACTTCTACCTTCACCGCAGCCCCAGATGGCTGTGCAGCAGCGCAATATCTATGGCAACAAGTGGAGTGACAGACAAAAAGCTGACATCGCAACTCACTCTTTGGTCAGCTGAGAACAGGACTTAAGAAGGAAGCGGTTGAGGGGCGTGTCCTGGTAGGTGAGGTCCGGGGGCGCAGTCGGGCTTTTGAGGTTCAAGCAGCGGACGATGACGTAGAGCACTGTGGCCACCGCTGCCAGCTTCATACCGTCAAACATGGCTGGCAGCTCTGGAGAGATGGTGTGCACGTCCGTCTCGTGAGTGCTCATGATTGCTCTGAAAAACAAAACAACACACCACACATCTTCATTTTGATTTCTTTACATTGTTTTCTTCAGTTTTTCATTAACTCTGGTTAGTTCAGAGATGACTTAAAGTACAAAAATGTCTTATGACATCTGACTGACCTTAATATTCCTCCTATTGCCAACAGATCTGTGGGAATACAGAGAGAGTCACTCAGTCAGATGAAGAGCAGCAAGGATCTGGTATTTAATACACTGACCTTAATTACACTACAGCTAACACAGTACTGATGGAAACCTTGCTATATAAAAAACAGAAGTGGTGGCATTACTTTGAATAAATTAAACAAAGTAATCTCAGCTGTTCAGACAGAAAAACAGGAAGTGTAAAGAGTACAGAGGCCACAGAATCTCCTGCTGACACAGGAATGGGAAGTTGTGCTACAGGATTTCACTAATAATGCATGACAGTGTTATGTATTGTTAAAAATAACAAAATGCAAAGCTGAAAAAAAAGCATGTCCTCACATTGTATGAGGAAGTTCGCTTCCTATTGCGACGCGGTCCAAAAGGCTGCAGTCACAGTGTTGTGGTCAAACCTGCGGAACAAAAAAAGAAGACACAAACAATGACTTGAGCCACTTTGAATGAAGAAATTCAGCATTTTTCTCCTTTTAAAAATTTTCCTTACACTGTGGGAATACTTGGCATAAAGGCCCTGACACAACACCAGTGACTTCTCTTCAGTGAGTTTTTACTCAGGCTGTTAAAGAATTTTTKTWTCYATKTTSWTTWGAAAATGTTAGATTGTCTATGAGGAATGACTTTCACGATTTCCCACAGCTCAAGGTCACATGTTCAGATGTCTCATGGTGTCTGGATATAAGCAAACTCACATTTGAGAACCAGGAACCAGAAAACGTTTGGTTTCTTCACTGTAAGAATGACAAATGATTATGAGAATAGTTCAACTTTTTTTTCTGTCGTTTAAGTAACTGTTGCAGTTCTACTTGTTATTCCAGTGTCTTGTCAGAAACATGATTTCACCACTGTGCTTTCATTTTGCACTGAAGTTGTGCCCCCCCCCTCTTGTTTGTTTGTTAGTAAGCCGTTTACACAAATCTACTAATGGACAGATTGCCATCACACTGGGTGGAAGGATGTGGAGGAAGAACCCATTATATTTTGTTGCAGATCCAGGATTTTTTTTTTACTCTGACATGGTGAGATGAGGGTGTTTTTCAACATTTTCCTTGATTCCTCTCAGAATAATTCAAGGATCTCGATTATTAAAATCTAGCGTGTTCAAGGGACTGATGTTTATGAGTGTGTGCAAATCATCCAAACAAAACGTGGTTTCATAAGGGGGATGTTGAGTCGGTCAGATAATGGAATTTGATCATTTAGAAATCATTACATTTAAAATATTTATCAAGTTAAAAAAAGCTTCATTTTCCAGCTTCAGGCCAATGTAGATGAACAGTTTGGTTGGACTGGTGGTCAAAGGTCGTAATAGACAAACAATAAATCACCAACACAATCAGTTTATCTTAAAGGTTCAGTGTGTAAGATTCAGGTGAAAGGGATCTATTGGCAGAAATTAAATATAACATAATATTAGTGATGTTTCCACGAGTGTGTTTCACCTAAATTGAACGAATCACCTTAGAATGAACCCTTTATATTTAAGTGCGTCCTCTCTCCTCCAAACTAAACACCAGTTTTTACAACAACTGAAGTCAGCACAGGTCCTCTCTCCTGTTTGGAAGGGGGGGGGGGGAGGAGGTGAGGGACATTCAGCTGCAACATGAAACTTCACCACTAAACTCTACACACTGACCCTTTAAAACCAGACAGCCCTTACAGCACATGACTAAGCAGCAGGAGCAGATGTACAGTAATTCCCCCGTCCACGTGTTCCCGGACCACAATAAAAAGAACACGGCGTGCACTGTGGATCCAGACCGAACATTACAGAAGCAAGTGTTGAAACATCAGCTGGAAACACAACACGGAGCCAGAAATATCCTCAGCTGCACAACATTAGCTTCATTAAACGAGCTAACGCTCAGCTAACACCTGTCTCCCGCACGGCTAACGAAACCCCACAGAGGACACCTGAGTGTTGGCCGGACGCCACAGTGTGTTAGCGAACGAAAAACAACAACCATTAAAAAAAAAGAAAAAGAAAAGAGGAGCTGCTGATAATCTTGTGCTCCTTCTTTGTCACGACTCTCAGCGGGAGGAGAGGCGTGTGCAGCCCCGGGCACACACTGTTCTGTCCCTGCTAGCTAGCTGAGCGACGCTGCTGGAGATGGGGTTTTTGACGGACGATTAAAAATGGAGATGATGCGTGTGCGTGTTTTGTTTTTGTTTTTTTTCTGACAAGGCCAGAAAAAAAAAACAGAATAAATATATAAATAATGTGGTAACGAGGTCGGTTAAAATGCACTTGCCCCAGTATTTAATCCGTAAAACGAAAAGCAGCAGCCTTTACACGGGCTTTTTCTTCACGACCTCCATTTTACTTGCGCCTGATTTCTGATGAACTGAACGGTTTGAGTTCTTCCGTTAATGATCTAATAACGAGGCAGCATCATCTCCCGAGCACCGACGCGTTCACGCACAAACATCCCAATCTCGCTCACCTCAGCCGGCAGGAAGGAAACACTCAGATCCGCTCCTCGCTGCTGGAAAGTGCTCAGTTTATATTCGTGGCATCTTATTCGTGGAGTCCGGCGGAGATCGGGACGTCCTCCGGTTCAGAGCCGAGGAGAACAACAGCTGCAGCTCCGAGCTTCTCCGGTACACTTCCTACATGGACCCGACGGAGGTAGAGCGAGCCTCCCATTGGTCAATCCGCCGGTGACGCAGCATCGTCCACAACAACAACACAGAACATTTTCATTTTATGTATTTGTTTTGTTTTTTTTTTGTTTTGTTTTTGTTGACGTCCTGTGCAATGTGAATTTTTTCTTATTAAAAAATAATA